TATGGGATGGTAGGTGTGATGGGCTGACTCCCTTCGTAGCAGAATAAAAAAAAATCTACCTGACTAGCTTGGGGATGGAAGGTATGTTCCCTTTCATCTAGAGTGTGGGATGATAGGTGTGATGGTCTGACCCTTCGTAAAAAAAACAATGTGGGAGTAAAAATTCTAAATGTCGTGGCAAAACAAGAAAGCTTGCTTAGAAAATTTTTAGGTTTGTTAAGCATGGACTTGATACAAACACGCACACACCCACACAAAGAATCTTGCCCTAGGGGACAGTACTTGATTTCTCAAACTAGTCTAGCATGTTGAAGCCAAATGTTCTGAGGGCTGAAATTTTATCCCATATAACTATTCTGCTTCTGAACTTGCCATGGTATTTTTATTTTTCTTAATATTATCCATTGCTTGAGGATAAGCAATAGTTTAAGTTTGGGGGTGTGATAATTCCGTAAAAAGGTCATATTTGGGACCTTTTCACTTAAGTTATTGACTGTCTAAAAGCCCATTTAGGATCATATAGATGCATTTAGGAGCATATGATTACATGTGGTGAAATTTTGTTTGCCGCGGCATTTTATTTTGTAATCAATGCTGCATTATGAGGAAGGTGTTTTTCTGGTGATGTGCAGGATTTGGGAGCAAGGAAAAGCAAAAGGGGAATGTCGTGACAAAAGGAGACTGCTGAGTAAAATGCAAATGCCGAACCAGTTGGCATTTCGAGAGTGATTAAAACGAAAGAAATACATTTTTAGTAAGAGCCAGCTGTCACGGCATAAAAAAGTGCTTTCTGCAATCAGCATTAAAGGAGGGGCCAATTACCATCTTTAACACAAAAACCCTAGGTTCATTCTCCCCTATAAATAGAAGATGAAGCATGACTTTTTGAAAGGAGAGAGTTTTTTAGACAACCGCCAAGAGCCTAAAAATTCGGAGAAAAAGTTCTTCGTCAATCCCATTTGCCGTGGCATTCCTCCGTTGACAGGCTAGAGGGAGTGGCGTTCTAGGCGTCCGAAAAGAGCTAGTTCGCTAGGGGCAGTTCGTGGTGGTCGAGGAGAGCATCCAACAGTGCACGTTGAATGTTTTTCCTCCTTCCCTTAGTTATTTGCTTTCATATTTTGTTATTTGGGTTGTAAGGAATGAATAATACTTGCTTTGTACTTGTTTATTTTGAACCCCACCATGAACTAAACCTATTTGGTGGGAGTTCATTTTGGATATTTAAGTTTTGCTTTAATGAATGATTGTTTTTCTATGTTATTAATTGTTTTATTTATGGATCTTAATGCCTTAGCGTTATAGGAGCTATGAGAGTAGCCATTCCTTAGGAGATTACTAAGTGTTCGAGAGAATATCTAAGTAGCACATCCTTAGTATTCGAGAGAAACTAGGGAGGAACCACATAAGCAAGGGGTTCTAGATAGTAACTAGGCCTAATCCACCTTAGAGATAAGGCTAGGATTTCATTCGACTAAAAGGAGTTGTGCATGAGCGATAGGTTAGATGTTAATGCTGCCGCAAAAAGGTATTGCCCAGACATATCATGTTATCTGGACCAATAGGATCCCTGTAATAGCTAACGCCAATCGGTTTTGCTAAGGAATCTTCAATCTGTCGAGTCCCTTAACTAGAGATAGCATAGGGCACCCTTAGTAAACTCTGTCGGGTAGTTAAGACTGAGAAGTAAGACCATTCTGAGAAGTAAACTTAGATTTTCCTAAGTGACTCCTATCACTCATTCCCATAGTAGCTTGTCGTGTGAGGAGTCTAAATTTCTTATAAGCAAATCCAATATTTACAGTTTATATAGTCTTTACATTTTTCAGTTGTTTATACTCAGCACAATTCAATTTGCCATAACATATCCATCTGCTACCACCTTATCACCATTCTATTTTCGCAACATCCATCTCATTTTGCCACAGCATTATCATTTGTTTATACCATTATTAACTTTACTTAGGTGACAAAGTAAAGTGTCGTGACAAACTTATTTGATTTCCCCCAATCCCTGTGGAGAACGATACTCACTCATCACTTTATTACTTGTTCGATTATGTATACTTGCACACATATTCGCACCACATTTATAATACTCATATCGAGCGGACATGTACAAACAGAATAATTTTTAAGTTTGTATATTAATACAGAATAATATTTCTTTAAAGGTAGTGCAAACTGCCAACATATGAAACTTGTCATAAATTATTTTTCATGTAACTCATATGTTATATGCTATTATAAATTTTGAAATGAGTCAACTTTATTACATTTGACATGATAATTAAAATTATTTATTTCAAATATGATGTGTTTATGTTCAAGAAAGGTAATTGATGATGATTATGATATGTAAATGTTATGCAGAAATGAAATGTTTATGAACTGCCCATTATGTTATGATATGAAAAATCATTTATTTCGATGTATTGATATCTTTGATATTCAATAACATATAATAATTAATGGAAAAGCCCATTGTATGTTGCATTAAGAGTCGTAGGTACACTTGGCATGCCAAGAAGTTGAGTAAAGATCAAGTTAAGTCAAATTATTGTACATTCGTGTACATTACGTATGACACCACTGGTGCATATGATATATTTTGCACTTGGAGTGCATCTTATGATGATGATTGGCATCATGAAGTGCCTAGTGCACACAATATGTATGACTCACGTACCTTGCATTCTCATAAATATGCATTGGGCTATGAACTTGAAAATAAGCTACAAATATGAAATTAAGTTACGAATCTGAAATAAGTTATGAGTTTGGAAACAAGTTCTGAATCTGAGAATGAGTTTTGAAATGTGAAAGTATGGATTATAAAAAGGAAATGTGAAAGTGAATATAAAAAATTAAAAAATGAAAATGAGATATGAAAGTGTTGTATTGTATATGAATAAAAAAGAATATGATATGACTATTATGTATGATATTGTTCATCATGGCTTTGATATGACTATTATTTATGATATTGTTTATCATGGTTTTGATAAAATCATAAGATGATGATTTTCAGGTCCTTGATGAGGAAAAATGGCTTGAATAAATTGATTTGGATATTTATTAAATTTATTGGAATTTAAGTTAATGTTTTAAATTGTTATGATATTATTAAGTTTTATATAAGTGAATATGTTGTTTAGATGTTGTTAAGTTGTTTGATATTTATATAACTTTAGTTTGTTTATAATGCCTCACTAAGTGTATAATTAGCGAGTGATGATTTTCACCGTAGGTAAAGAAGAGCAAGTGAAGTAAGGAGCTGAGTGGGCATCAATCAATAAAGAAAAAGTTACAGGTATTAGTAATGACATCCTAAAAATTTAAATTTTCTAGATGGCATGTATACGAATAAGAAAAATCTAAGACATGTTATTATGGATATAAATACAAATTTAAGTTTTATGTTTTAAATAAAAAATTATATTTTGACAGAGTAAAGCAATATTTTAAATTAGATGGTAATTTAGACAGTTTATCTTATTATATGGAACCGTATAGAACTATCTAGTTGTTGCCTGAATCTGATATTGATTTGGAGACTTAAATACTATAATATGATTTTACGTGATTACATTATTTATTGAAAGGATTAAAATGGATAAATTTTAAAAGTTCAAAATTTTACTGGATTTTCAACCTTAGAATGTATGTAAAACTACGTGACATCTTTGACTCATATTCGGGTACATATACGGGTTAAGGGTGTTACATAGTATCTCATTTTCAAGTGCCCAAAATTTAATAAAACGATAGCGTAAGTGAACAAAACTTAATAAAACGATAATATAAGTGACCAAAAGTGTACAAATATGAAATAAAATTGACCAAAACTTAATCCTCCTATTATCTACGTGGAAATGATATAATTTTAATTTTATATATTTATTATGCCACGCCAGCAAACCGTTAAAGGTTTAACGGTCGTTAATCTTCAGTGACGAAATCTTAATCAAAACAAAACGAAAGTGACCAAACCTTACATTTTTTGAATTTAGTGAGGAAAAGTTTATAAAACTCAAACGAAAGTGATCATTTCCATAGTTTACCCTACATAATTCTCACATATAATTATTCCATCTATGAATATGCATCTATCATTCCAAAAGGGTTCAACTTTTGACAAATTTTAAGAATTTCACATGAAAGAGGGTAAATAATTAGGTTTATTTATAAAACACTTTATTCAACTCGAGGTGATAAATATTTATATGATGAGTTCCTAAGAAATCTCATCGAGAATAAAATCCTATCCCCAATTGATTGCACAAGACTTTTACATGTAGACACCTATTTTCAATTCCGAACCCACTCGAAAAACGGTTGCGATACAATAAAAATGATGTAACAAGGAGAAAAATCAAACCCTTTTAAACATTATTCGATTAATGTAAAGTTATTTATAATTACCACCATCCCTTTGGAGATGTGCACTACAAACAATTTGCAACATTATGAACGATGTGCTAATTAAGTCTACACCTAAGACTCCATTTGAGATATGACATGTAGATTTCTTACCACATAAATATAGACCTTTTCCATTAGAAAATTTTTCAAAATTGCACCTAACGTGATCTGTCTTTATTCAAAGAGTATTAATTTAAAAATTAATCATGAATAAATATTACTTAGATAATAATTCGATAAATAAATTGTTTTTCTTAGTCAATGTTTTTTGAATATGACATGATCGTACTTTAAAATTTTCTGAATCATCGGCTTTCCTAAAATTAACAGATATTTTCCTATTTCATACAATAAATAATACGATAGCTTTAAACTTTCAAGAAAGGAAAATAATAAATACATAATACAGGGACTATATGCACAATTAGAACCTTGTCTTTTTATTCGGTCACACTAATCGCTTAAACAACGGTGTGATCTCGTTAAAAGTGTCACGGTTTAAGGGGAAGAAGAGAATAGAATCGGGTGAACCGGATAAAAGGATTCGGTTAGGGCAGTTTTAGAAGGATATAAAGTAAGAAGAAACATCTGGAGATAGCGGCTTTAGGGCGTAAAAAGAAAAAAACAAGCCGTAGAAGAGGGCTCTCTCTTGGTTCAGCTTATTCCCCCCCTTAACAAAATCTTTTCAGGTAATTTTCCAGATCTAATCTGAAAGTTCCACGTTTGATTTTGAGCTGCTTTTGAAATATTGATTTATATATATATTTTTGGCGGTTGGAAAAAAAGATGGATCGTTATCAGAGAGTGGAGAAGCCGAAAGCAGAGGCACCCATTGACGAGAATGAGATTCGTATCACCAGTCAAGGCAGGATGCGTAGTTATATCACTTATGCCATGAATCTGCTCCAGGTTTGCCCCCCCTTCCTTTCTGGGTGTTTAATTTCTGCATGTTTAGATCTTTTCTAAATTTGGGTGTTTTGATTATTTTGTGAAATAACACTTTTGATAGGAAAAGGGATCGAATCAAGTAGTTTTTAAAGCAATGGGAAGAGCCATTAACAAGACTGTGACTATTGTGGAGTTAATTAAGGTGCTACTATTTATAATCTATGTGGATAGTTGTATTGATTGGTTGTTTCTTAGGGTGGTTAATAAAGTGATCCATGTACTTGTAATGCAGAGAAGAATTGTTGGTCTACATCAGATTACATCCATTGGATCCATGGATATAACAGATATGTGGGAGCCTCTGGAGGAAGGACTCCTTCCGTAAGGACATTATAATTTCTTATTGTTATTTTTATGCCTTTAATATGTTTCTTTACAGAATTTTAATAACCTTTGTTTGATTACCACAGATTGGAGACCACAAGGCATGTGTCGATGATCACTATAACCCTTTCGAAGAAGGAATTGGATACATCCTCTGTTGGGTAAGTTCCTGTACATGTTGCTCTTTACTGACGTAAGTACATTGTTCCTCGTTATACTTGTTTGCTTGAAATATTAAATGAAGGTTGATTGGGTTCTTTTTGTTAATATGAAGCAAGTTGGTTTTACCTTTGATGTGTTGGTGCTAGTTAAATTACATTTCTATGAATGTTGGGAGCTTAGAGAATATTAACATATGGAAGGTTTTATGCTCTGATTATGGTGGCTTGATGTTTTATTTGACATGAGTGACTCGTGATCTCCTTTTTATCCAGGTACCAACCTCCATTACCTGCCGATCAGGTGAAGGCATCCACAGAAATCGATCATGAAGGAGGTGGGGATGCATTTCATATCTACACTGCCATCTCTTTTTGGTGATGCCGAATGCCTGTGTTTGTTTTTTATATGCATTTTTTTTTGGCAGAGGGCTCTCCTAATGGCCGTGCTAGAGGCCGTGGTGGTAGAGGAAGGCAAAGGGGTAGAGGTAATGCCAATTTTGAGTATTGGGATGCACCCTGATAGATGTTCTTTTTTGTTGTTATGTTAGGGGCATGGTTTTCCATGGCTCTGGATGTGATTGAATATCATGTGAGAAATATTTTAAGCAAATTTTTAGTTGTATTCTTCTTCAGGGAATGGTTTTGTCTCTGCTGAGTATGAGGATGGAGGCTGGGACCACTCTCGTGGCTATGCTAGGGGTAGAGGTCGAGGAAGAGGACGTGGCTACCGAGGCCGTGGGCGTGGAGGATACAATGGACCCCAGTTTGACAGGCAGCAAGATGATGGCCGTGGGCGTGGAGGATACAATGGACCTCAGTTCAACAGGCAGCAAGATGATGGTCGTGGGCGTGGAGGATACAATGGACCCCGGTTTGACAGGCAGCAAGATGATGGCCGTGGGCGTGGAGGATACAATGGACCCCAGTTCGACAGGCTGCAAGATGATGGCCGTGGGCGTGGAGGATACAATGGACCCCAGTCCGACAGGCAGCAAGATGATGGCTACAACTATGAAGCCCCTCCCCAAGGTGGTCGTGGTGAGTTTTCTCTCTTATTTTTCCGTTATAATAAAATTTTAACATGTTTTAACAGTTTTTCCGCATGAACTATGATATGCATGTCTATCATCACCACTAATATCCTCCTCCTGCACCTCTTAACATAATGTAATTTAACTATTTTGAACACGAAGAATCAAAGTGCACGTACAATAAAGGATGTGGCATTAAAAAGAAGTTAACATGGAGATGCAATTATTTACATGTTCATGGTCTGAAATTTTCTATCGTTTTTCAAAGTACAATAAACAGACATTATGCCAATAGCTTTAAGAAGGAATGCAGTGAATAGGTAAATAACATAGTTTCTGATGGTCCTTGATTTGCTCTTTGAAGGTCGTGGCCGTGGAAGGGGATATCGTGGAAGGGACCGTGGGTTTCGATCTAATGGGACGATGCATCCAACTGCATGAGGTAGTTTGTGGCAGTCCTTGAATGATATGGAAATGATGGTGTCGGATTCATATTCTGTCATGTTTACGAATTTTTTTGGTCGTTCTTTATCACTTCTGTAGAATTAGGTTTGGTCAATTTTTTCTTCGTTGTTAATTGCTAGCAGTTTAGCATGTGTTCGAGTTCATGTGGTGTTGATGTCGATGTTCATGAGTAGACTTAGAATAGTTGCATCTCGGGTTTCTACTAGTGCAGCAGCCGCTCCACACTATAGGAGGGCAGGTCTTTTTTGGGTTTATTCTGTGGCCTTAGCTTATTATATGTTTTGAACAATTGTAAACAGACCCCCCCCCCCCCCCCGCAAACACAATTATTATGTCGTTAAGGGTTTTGCTGTTTCGCTTGCTGTTTTCCTCTTTTCCTACTCCACAAGGAAAGTAGTGTGCATCTATTCTATTTACCTTTAGACCTGAAGAAGACAAGAAGAATAGTTTTGCGATATAAATAGGGGAATAAGACTTAACATCAACTTTCATGTAGGTCACAGATCCATTCTAGTTGAGTTCGTATAAATTTTGTTTCTTTTTGTTAAATTTAGTTAACAACTTGCTTATCACTCCAACACTGTCAGATGTACAAGCTTAGACATTAAGCTCACTACAAAAATATACTTCAATTGGCTTTTCGACTAATACTGTAGTTGAAAACAAACATAAATAATGTTGCCAAACTGGGGGATGAAGGACAAAAATGTGAAAGCTTGAAGGATTAAAATTGATATTATATCATTGTTTTTGTTAAATTAAATAAAATATCTCATTCCATCAAATAAAAAGTAACGTTTTATAAAAAATGATTTTTTCATTAAAACAGAACTACTGAATAGATAATTTATCTTATTTAATAAGATAACTTTGGTCGAAAATTCAAAAAGGAATCCACTTTTGGGGCTATTTAGGGTCCAACCGAGAATTCCACTCTGTAATCTGGTATAATAGAAGGGATCGGTTATCAATGAGGTCATTTCCGGCTTTTATCTCTATTATACAACATCTCTATACTAAAGATAAATATTAATTCATCTCTATATATAATAACAAAAACAAAAAATCAAAAAAATTACAACAAAAAAAATAGAACAATTTTCCTACGGATTCAAACATGCACTTGAAAAAAAGAGCCAACAATCAGAAAAATTAAAAAAAATATATAACGCAGTTATAATGTCAGTTATAGCATATATATTACAACTGTCACCACAATGCAGCTATAAAATAGCGATGGGTTGAAGCATAGGATCATGAAGATTTTCGCCACTCCAACTATGCGCTGGAGATGGCCTCATGGAGCAAAAGGATATTCAAAACTGAGAAAAAAGTGGAAACCCTGGCTCTCTCCCCACGTTTAATTCAATCAATGTCGGATATCATGGTGGATCAACTACTTAAACCTGAAGAAACAGTCGTTGGGAACAACTTACGGCAGCAGCACAAACAAGCGAAGAACAGCAGCAGCACAAACAAGCGAAGAACAGCAGCAGCACAAACAAGCGAAGAACAACAGCAGCACAAACAAGTCGAAGAACAGCAGCAGCAGCAATCAGTAGGAAGAGAAAATGCAGAATATGAAGATGAAGAGTTACACAAGCTTCTAGTCCCTGACATAACCCAACTTCCTCTCACCCCACCTTCTGCCGTTGAATCCAACTTTGCCTCTTACTATGCTCCAGGTTTCCCCCCATTTTCCCCAATTATCTAATTTTCATGGGTTTTGTTAATGAACCCCTGGGACTTAAGCACTTTGAAGTTAGATGATTTCCTTATGTATAATACAGGTTTTGTGTGAAATGGATTTGTTAATTACCTAATTCATGATTTTCTTTGTATTGGTTGAAGTGAAGATGTCACTGTATAATCATTAGTTTATATTTAGGTGTTCTGAGTCCTCTAATCAAATTAGTTTATATTTTACTGTGTTCTGAAGCCAGGGAATCAAATTAAATTTTAATTTGTAGATTGTGTGTTATTTGGCTTGGCTTCAACTCACTTGGCATTTAAGGAAAAAGGTGGGATCACATCCGTTGATTTCAATGTTGGCAAATCCGATCGAAGTGGTATGAAAGTCACTGGAAAGAGAGAAGGTATCTCCTTGTTTATTTCTGTAACTGATTAGAAAAGTGTTTGATTGTTGTTTTACAATTGAAATTCCACTTTGGGGGTTTAAAGAGTTTTATCAATGTGATGTTCTATATTGGTAATTCTTTTAAATTGTGAGAGCAAACATACATTATATCTTGTTATTTGGAGATCAAAGAGATTAATTTCTTTCATGGAATTGGTGTATTAGCTTTGACAATGTCTACTCGTAGTTAAATATGCTTCTCTTGTAGAATGTTCAACACTTCGAGTACAATACAGTTTTGTGCAAGGTCTGCACCCGTGATGATTCGTATATTGTAAGGTGGGTATGATTATTTTCGTGCAGCATCTCTCCCTTCCCTCGTTTCCCCTTGATTTTCGTATTCAAATGAATAGCAGTTCCGGGCAGGTGTTGTGTTAAGGGATCTCTTTTGGAAGTGAATGAAAGATTAATCAAACAACCAGAGCTGCTTAATTCGTCGGTGAGTGTAACTCTGCCACTCTTCTTTACTGGTTTCTCAATTCATATATGTTCGCAACACTAGAATTTCGTGGTTGAAATTGAATTCTTGTGAGTTGTGATTATGGCACATCTGTCATCTGAAGCTACCCATGTTCTTCCTTACAATTCAAAAGACATACATTAGGATAAAAGATGACTAGTATTTTAATGTGTGGCATAATTTTGTCAATTACATGCTGTGCTGAGTTAATTTGGGATTCTTTTAATTTGACAATTTATCGTATAAATGTGGCAAAGTTTGTGAGTGTTAGAATCTGTCATCTGAAGCTACCCATGTTCTTCCTTACAATTCAAAGACATACATTTAAAAAAGATACTAATTTTAATGTGTGGGCATAATTTTGTCAATTACATGCTGTGCTGAGTTAATTTGGGATTCTTTTAATTTGACAATTTATCGTATAAATGTGGCAAAGTTTATGCAGTCGTTAAAGAATTCGGATTTATCGTTGTTGTTGAATGCAGCCAGATAAAGAAGGATACATAGCAATTGTAATGCCAAAGCCAGCGGACTGGCTTAAGGTTAAGGCTTCCTTGTTGAGCCTTGAAGAATTCAAGGAACTGAGAGCACTTTGCTGAATATAACCTCTAGAAAATGGAGAGAAGCTGGCTCTATACTTCATTAAAATAATTCAAGCTGAAGGAATCCCTTCATTGACAGTTTTTCTGACATGCCCCCAGCGCGACAAACTCTATTATTTCTACTGTACTAGATTTGGTTGGCTGAACTATGTAACACAGCTCCATTTCTCTGTTTTACTTTCCCATCTCACTAATGATAAAAAGTTGGTCATTTTCAACTCCTTGATCAAATGATTAATGAACGTTTTCATGTACAAAGACAAAATGCAAAAGAACTGTTAATGCCCAAGTTCTATTGCAGTCAAACTTTTAATCTTCAAGGGACATAACTATGCCATGATCAATGTCTTAACTATGGCTGTGAATCAACTATTTCTTCTATGACATTCAGTCTCTCGATCTGTTGATAGTGTGAAAACTTAGCATGTTCTTCAAGCTCCTTCAATTGTTCCAAGAAGCTTGAATCGTGCATTCGGAATTCTCTTTCAGTACCTCAATCTTCCCATTTCTTATGCACATATTAGTAACGGCTTTATGGTGCTTGATCTCAACATGCAGTCTCCATACCAATCTACTTCTGGTATCGAAATCGCTGATCAAAATATAAATAGCTTATGCTGATATATTAAGTTGCTCACCGAATCTTTTGAGCAAACTCGTGTTTAGCCCTTGCTGATGAGATGATAACCCGGTTTTCTTCTTCTTCTTCCAAATGCAACAAACAAACCAGGCGGCAAGCCCTGGTGCTGCTATAATTCCCAACATGCCGTGGAATGCAAGTATCAGCAATGCAATCACAAGCGCTGTGTGAGAAATTACTAAACAAAGACCCCAAAACTGTTTGGAGATCCTTTTGAGTTTTGCTTTCTGTCTTATCTTTTCCGATTTCCACGTTAGTTTTCGGAACAAATTGAAGTTATTCTAATTGATCTTCCGGAACTGCTTCTGTGTAACGATCGACAATGGATTTTTAAGCAATGCAAATCCAGTTTGCTCCTTGAGTATAACGCCACACTGTTCATCTGAAAAATCTTGAATCCTCTTGCTCAACTTGATCACCTTTCTAATCCTCTGATAATAAACTCGCGTCTGGTCGATGCTTTTAAGGAGTAATTCGCATAAGCTACAAGCTTCCGAGCCGGCTTCGAAATAATCTAGAAGAAAGTGATGAACATTCAAACTCTTTATCCTGTCCAATGTTTCTTGCCTCGGTTTAAGCAAGAATTCGGACAAGTTCATACGATGATTCGGAATCAAAGACGTTGAAGGTAGACTATCAAAGCCATGAACTTGACTCAACATCTCGAGATAGGATTTTGTTCTAAAAGCTTCCTTGTATTCTTCATTTACATTTGTCTTGTCACTCAAGTTACTTCCATGCTTCTTCTCTGATCAGCCTGAAACAAACAAACAAACAAACAAACCAAAACACAGAAATCCAATCAACTTTTCAATCCATGAAACCAACTAAAGATTCCAAAAAACTATGGGGGGGGGGGGAAAGAAAATCCAGAAACCCTTTCATGGTATAAATCATCTGATCTGATTTAAGCTTTGCGAAATAGATCATATTCACTCTCTTTTTTTTTTGGTTTTTAAAATTTTCTCATCAAAACAAACAGATTAGGTATTTGATTGCTTGAGCTAATATTTATACGTAGAGTTCGATGACTTTGGATCTGCTTAATCAGAGGGTGAAATCCTTTATGCTTTAATCTCACGATACGTGTATTGGCTTTGGATTTGCTCTTATCATAAAATAGTGCGGTGAAGCTCG